CGAGGCATGCACTGCTCAAAGAACAATTTTTTTACATCAGGTGCTTCAATGAACAAGTGTTGACTGTTGTACATTAGGTAGGCAAGGGTAGCTCGTTTGGAGATTACTTGAGTCCTGTTTATTTTTAGTTCATGAAACTGTTGGAGAGCTAGATCAATATTGTTATTTAGAATTCCCTTCACTATGTGGTCAACAAACAGAAGCAGATATACACCACAGTCAACCATGTTGTCCTGCTGTGGACAGTTGACAATATGAAAATTTGCATTTTCGGGACTATCTGTAATGACTCTACTGACTTTCAGGAAAATTTCTTTAGCAGATTCCAAGTTGTATTGTTTTGAAGAATCCAAGTAGTAAAAAGTATTTCTTGATTTTTGATACAATAATAAGCTCCAATGTGTGCCACCCACTGCACAAACAGCTTTTGCATCGTTTACTGGTATTAATATAAATGATTTTTCTTGTAGTTTTAGAGGTGTTATTAAATAATCTGTATCATCGAGGCACTTGATTGCTTGGCTTACAACAGGGTTTATAAAATAGATTTTTTCATTGTTTACTATTTTATCATTCAGCATTTCAAGATAAATTCTAATCATATCATCATTTAACCATTCGTTGTTAAGCAAAGACATACAATGACCGGTGTTTACATCAGTTTGAATTTCCTTTGCAATTTTGGAGTTCTTCTCAATGTCGTTTAGTTTATTTACAACAAATGAATCTTTATGCATTGGAGTACTATTACTAGATGCTATGTGGTTGTTGAAATCAACAATGGGCTGTGTACTAAGGGGAGTTCCAACGTTCAGTTCTATTGAAAAATCATTTTGCAAGTCAGATATGATTTCTACACTATTTAAACTATTTAAGCTGTATGAGTCGTCAGAAGTACAAACACTGCCACTATCTGTACAAGTAGAAATATCAACAGACTTTATATCACCAGGAGGCTCCAACAGAAAATTTTGATTTGTTTTCTTAACAGAAAAATTGAAATCTTCAATTTTGTACACAAGTTTTTTCTCATCAATGTATTTAGCTAGTTCTTTTTTAGAACGAAATAACTTGCCCGACGGTGAGGTTATATATACATCAATTTTTCCTTTATGAATCCCTTTCTTTCTAACTATTTCCTCTCTTTTCCACCCTTTGGGAATCGTGCATTTTTTATCCTTGCTATCCATATCAAAAAGTATAAAACATAAACACAAAATAAAATCAAAACTACTTTTGATTGCAGTTTATATTTCCAGTAAAATAATTATATTAATTTACAGTTAAAATATTAAATTGCTTTCCTTAAATAATGTATGTAATATCTTAAATAACAATAGTTCTCAATTCTGTAATGAGAAGTGATAAAATATTTAAAATATTTGAATATTGTGGCAATAGCTCTATTAGTAGGTCAGTTGAAGGGTCAGTTCTCCGAGTAAACAAAGCAGCTGATAAGGAGTCTGTCGATTCTGCTGAAGCAGGTTTCAAACTCAAACAGGTTATCTTTAGGTTACAGGTTTACTTGTGGTTCTTGAGTTCCGTAGTTGGTATCTCTTGTATAATTTAAATTACAAATTAAAATTTTCATTGTGTAAAAAGAAAAAATATTATTTTATTTTGCTAAGAAATTAAGTTCAAAATGCTTTTTACCTTTATTAATAATTTATGAATAAGACTTTATACTTTTCCTGCCAGTTTGCTCCAGTCAGTGTAACAATGTGTTTTGGCCTGCTGTAGAAAGTGGAAAACTATTTTTCAAATATTCTTGTAACTTGTGTTTTTCTTTACGGAATTTATCACTTATAAATGTTTATATATGGTTAAATTTAAGGTATGTAGCACTTTAAACACTATTCAATACTTAGAATATATTAAAAAAACTTCTTAAATGCACTGGATACTTCAGACCTGTTCACATATTAAATAGTCAAGTATATACTCCAGTCAAGTAATATTGATGTTTACATGCATTTTTAATCAACGAATCTTATAAAGGATGATGTGATCTAGTTTAAAAGGAATGACCTTTCTGTTATGACAGTAGCTGCTTAAATAGTATTTACTCATTGTGCCATTTTGTATAGCCAAAATGTCGTGTTATTTTCAATAATGTTACCAACCCATTGGGCTACGGTCCGTAATATAGGCCACTGCAAATAATTTGTCACCTTTTTAGGCAAGGTTTCTGTGTTTGGATGTTATTAGACACGGTAAGAAGAGCACATAAACTTCTGCAGATGAATTATTTGTTGGAGAAATATAAGCCTAATTATAAAAAATGTTACAATGCGAGTTTGAGCATATTGTAACTATATGGGTAGGTTACATCGATTTTTTTTAAGCTGCTGCTCAGTGCACTTTAAGAATATATTTTTAGAGATAAACTAGCTGACCCGGCGAACTTCGTATCGCCTAAGTTATAGGTTTCCCCTAAGACAGACCGATGGAAAGAAAGTACCGTTACGTTTAATTTTCAAGATGATCTCGTTCGCATCGCTCAATCACGTCCTGGTTGAAGTTCGTTCGCTACGCTCACTCACCTTTGGGTTGGAGCTCGTTCGCTACGCTCACTCACCTTTAGGTTGGAGCTCGTTCGCTGCGCTCACTCACCTTTAGGTTGGAGCTCGTTCGCTGCGCTCACTTGCCTTTAGGTTAGCTCGTTCGCTACGCTCACTCGCCTCCAGGTTGAAGTTCGTTCGCTACGCTCACTCACTTTTTGGTTGCAAATTAGCTGTTGTCATAAATGTAAAAGAAATAATAGTGCTGCACCCTGTTGGTAATCCTTGTAACTTTAATGCTATTGAACATCATAGAACAGAACCAACTTGTTTAATTGAAACAGCTGTTAAGATTCATTAATTCCATTTCTCATAAGGTTAACATGGGAAACTCCAGAGCCACTGGGGCGGAGCCCTTTTAAGAATTTCGAAACGGGAAATAGTTTACGTCCGATTCGCATACCTACAGAAATTACACACCAAATTTCATAACGATCGGTGAAGTCGTTCCGGAGGAGTTTGCAGACAAACACTGTGACACGAGAATTTTATATATTAGATTAAATGGTTTTTGTTACTGAGTAGCGCTAGTAAACATGCACAACCCTTTTCGTTAGTCTAATAACATTCTAAGGCTCTCTAAGAGTTCAAGTTCTTATATGTATACATATATCTATATTACGTTTTCACTAAGCTGAATGAATACATCGAAGTAAACTCTCTGAAAAGTATGCAGTATATTGCAGTTTTCCAGCTTAATGACTTTCTAAATCGTGCACATATTTCTACATAAATATTGTAAAATGATTTATCTAGTTGCTGTAAACTACTATTAATATAATAAAATATGTACATGGCTCAAATAGTCATCATGCCCTTCTGCAATTGTATTATTTTGTATTGTATTACACAATCAAAGATTTATCCAATGATTGAAAACATGTATGGCAATAATCTCATGAACCTATGATGATCTGTCTAGAATAATATGATAAAATATAGGTTAGACATAGACTTAGACACCTAGGCAAAAGTGGTGAAAAAGGCAGACACCAACCTGTAAAATAGATAAAAGATAGTTCAATAAGAAATAGTTGTAAGAGTTACTGTGATAAAAGGATTTAAAATCATAAAATAACATTGCAAATACTTCTTTTGGGCAATTCAGTAACTCCCAATAAATGTGTGTTGTTTAAAATACAACTAGTTGCTCTGCCCGTGCTTCGCTACGAGGTGAGAATTCAAAAAAGAATAGTACCGTTTTACTTTAAGATACTATAATCTACTATAAGAAACAGTTTCAACACACTTACCAGGAAACATATTGTAGGCAAAGGCTCAATCGTGCTTATTGATTACCGGTATTTAAATGAAGATCTCTTAATGTATTACAGTACTAATATTTTATATAGTGTATAGCATTTAAAATATATTCAAAAGTATAATTCATTGACCACATGGCACCATGAAACAATTCTCATTGTAAACAAATTAAATTAAATATCAGAACAGCATTTCTGACAACAGCTGTAGTTTAATAACAATGTTTGTTTCCCATGTTAATGTTATGGAGAAATACGAAACTTTAAAGGGCCCCAGGGCCTCAATCTCTAATTATTTTCATAAAAAGAAAGTTTCCTGCACAACTTCACGTTACGCAATTTCCAATGACACCAAAACATGTCAATCGGTTCAGCAGTTTCGGAGGAGTAATTGTCACAAAAAACCTGCTTGCGTATTAAATAAGTAATATAGATTTAAAAATTAACAGCTGTTTCATTAAAATGTACTATCCACATGGCCAAAATGTAAACAAATGTGTGGAGGGATCTTTAAAGGCTTCTGGGGCAGAGCCCTAAGGGAATTTAGTTCGTTTTTCTTTTGATAACTCATCTACAGACCAAGACCTTTCTTTGGACACCTCTACCAAGTTTATTGGGACCAAAATATCCATCTTTTTCAGATAGCCTTTAATTCAGCCAAGCACTCAAGCACTGGATATTCCCCAGCATACCTCTTTTTAAGTTTTCACATCAATCATCCATTAGAACTAAACTGGGATTTGGACCAATTACTAAATTACAACACAAACCCCCAAACAACCAGGGACAAATGGGTACAAGCGCACCCACAATGCACATTCGCCTATTGGGTCTGATGATGATTGGAGTGTCCAATTGAAATCGATCACCACTTACCATCTTTTATATATTTACCGTCTTGTGAGTAACAGTATAAGCGTAAATATATTTTTTAAGTGTTATAAGACTATCTTTATTTACTTTCCGTAAATTTAATAACACGTACAATGCTGATCAAGAAGTTATTTCCTATTCATCTAACTTAAAAATCAAGACCAGTTGAATAGAAATAAAAACACTAAAACCCCAACCTGACAGTATACCCCACCCCAACCCCCACCCCAACCTGATAAGTATTTTAAAACTATGTCCAACATAGTTTGGATCCTTAATTTCTTACCTCAAAATACTTTTTTAGGTACGGTAGGCTAATTGATTCAAGCAATGGACAAATCAAACTGTTCAACGTTCTCAGTTCCTGGTGCAATGACTGATATGACTATATTGAGCACACCTTTGCCTCAAGCTGCCTCCACTGCGACCGAAAGGTAAATAACTTATGTACAGTAGGATCTCGTTAATCCAGCCCTATATGGTGATTATTAGGGCCAGGTTATAGAAAATGCCATATTAGTGGAAAAGCATCAGAAAATGAAGTAGTTTTACAATAAACAACATTTTTACTGCTTACGAAAACTATGATAAAAATTGTTTGAATTTCTGTACAGTATTATAGGTCTAATAAAATTTTCTTTAATGTATTATTAAAAAAAAAAAAAACAGTGATAAGAAACAGCAAATTACAGTAGGCTACAGTACAATTTCAATCAATGAACAATTATTTGCCACACAGGACGGGAATCGAACCCGAGCAGACGAATGCCACTGGCCAAGTGACACACGCCCTAGCCTTCTCGGCTATCTGTGCTTGAAGTCTGAGGAGTCAAAAACCGGTATTTAAGCTGACACCAGCGGTTGCTAATAGATACCACTACAGCAGGTTGTTCAATGCGTTACTAGGTAGCAGCACTAGTTAGTCACGGACTGTTTAGATGATATTTTTCAGTTGAAACACAACAGTGATCATATATTGTGTTACTGAGGCTTTGCTGCAAAATATTTACCCTAAAATGGCTAGGCCCTATACAGGGTTATTACAAATGATGTTCATGATTTCATACATATATTAATATAGTTTATATTAATTCAACTATATTAATTTAGTTTTATTTGTTATACAAAGAAATAAAATGGTTACAACTTTTGAAAAACTCAAAAAGTTTCGACACAGATACACAGAACTGTAAATGCTCGATACGGGAACCCCTTGTGGTACGACAGATGTCAATAATGTAGTCAAGCTCTTGCTAGACTTTGAAAAGTGTGTCTAGGTCTATTGTTTCGATAGCATTGGTAATCCGTTGCTGGATCTCAAGTATGCTATCTGATAATGGTGGTGTGTACGCCTTATCTTTGATGTATCCCCACAAAAAAAATCAGGGGGTGATGTCCGGAGATCGTGTAGGCCAGTTCAGGGGTGTGTCAATATTCGGACCACCGAGCTCGTTCCATATCTCAGGCAGCACATTGTTAAGTTCAGCCCTACTACAAGTAACATTCAAATGCAGCCATTTCTCTTAAATTTCAAATGTCACTTGCCAATATAGTGGTTATTAGGAGGATAATCGTTAAACCTGGTTCTAAAGTGTCGTTGCACACTAATAACAGATTGGTTAATGTAATATTTCAACTGGCAAAAATCTTTCCTGCCTTCAAATTCAGCCACTACACAACACTTACAACAATTGACTTGACAAACAGCTGATATGCACCCAAACCAATGTAAGGAAACTTTGTGAGTTTTTCTTTCCAATGGTACCAACTAAAATATTCTTAAAACAAATTAACCCAGTAATATTTATAATCAAAATCACGAATATCATTTGTAATAACCCTGTATTACGATAATCTTATCCAAATAAATCACGGTTAAATTCAATATTACATGGTAAACTAGATGTCTTTCGATTTTATGAGGTTTTGGTTGCAAACAATGCTGACAGAACATTACAATTTATAAGAAAACTTGGAAATTTACAACAAAAACTAAGTTTTATTTAATGTTTACTACAAATTCCAGGTATTATCTTAGTTATAAATTGTGTTATCGTCTTATTATCCAAAATTAGCCTAATTAATAAAATAGTGACAACATTACAGTTAAAATTCAACAACAGGTAACTTATTGGAATTGAAAGGCAAACAAAAAGTCTTAGGAAATATTGGCCTAGCACTGAAAGGTTAAAATGGTAATAACGGCACATTTAACAGGATTAAATAACGAACAAAACGGTAACTGTAGTAAGGAATGATGTGACACGACTCGATAAACAGATCCGTACAACTACAGAAATCTGGTTCTGGTGTCTACAGTTACTACAGAAATCAAGCACTGGTTATAGCTGTTTACCCGTTGTAACATTTTACTTTGAAATGTCTTTCCAAAGCAGTAAAAATTTTATAATGTTTTTAAATTGTGATTGTAGATAATTTGTAATTTAAAATATGGAGGTTTTAAATAATATTCTTGTAATTAAGTAATAAACTCTCTATTGATTTCATTCCAATTTATTTATTCATTCTTCACTAGTAGTTGAACCTTAAAAAAAAAGATATTTTTAATCGCCTGAAAGGCCAAATTATATTGTTACATAAAAATAAAAATTATTAAATAAAAGACCACTGATGCACCCTCTGTACTCACGACAATAAATATAATAACATAACTAGGACTTGACCACAAAGGGGAATATGTGCACAAAGTTGCACAAAAGCAATTTCACATTATACATGACAACTACTGACCAAATGAAACCAGGCCACGCGGTCTAACCCTTTTTATAAGCTCGGTTGCGACGTAGGCACTCTGATTATCCATACATGGGATCGAACAATGAACAGCTAATCAGAGATCTCACGGTGATTACAGGCTTATAACAAGATTTAACAAAACTAATACTGCTTTACTTTTAAATAAATGACAAAATTTTTTAAATATAAAACTATGACTCATCAAATTGTTAAACTGTACAAGCTGTTTATTTGACTGTAATTTTATTTAACTGTTTATTTGACTGTACAGTTGAACCTTGTTAGTACGAAACTCGGTAAAACTAATTCCTCGATAAGACATCTATAAGACAAATTTCTCATGATCTTTTTACATGGCATGGCTTTTTACATTTAAAACCCCCCAAAATTACTCATACTACTAAGTTAGGGGTTCTAGGGGCAAAAATCGTGTTAAAATGTTTTAAAATAAACATTTCTGTTGCAGAAGTTACTCTGGTGGTTTAAGCTCAACCCAGAAACACGAATTACTGGAAACTAGTGAGAAACACATGAAGACAGATAAAGACCTGGCTTCCATTGGGGAAGACAGGATGAGCTCTGCAGATTCCTCATTAGGAATTATAGCTTCAGACTTGCTGCGTGGTGAGTTATATACCGTACTTTGCAGTTTTTACATAAGTTACTCATCATAAACTCAATTTGCTTGGTATGCGTTGGGAGCTATTTTGAAAAAGGATATAGTTTAGCTAACTTAAATAAGAGAATTTAAACCCAGGATAATAGATAAGTTACCCAATAAAAGTCACAAAAGATTGAACTGATATTTCCTCCAGATATAGAACCACAGAGGAGATCTTAATATTTTATGTTGTCAATTTAATAAAAATATGCAGCCTGAATAAGTTAATTGTTTCTAGTATTTTTACTTTGTTTTCGGCTATTTTCTAAAAACAGCAAATTTGACTTTCTGTGCCCAAAGAAATATTGTGAGTATCGCTCACTAATCTCACAAACCTCGTAACATAGCTTTAGCCATCACAGAGATCAATTGGGATTGTGGATCATGTATTTTTATATTTTGCATGTTAAAAAATTATACTGTCTACATGTCAGTGCATGTGCATGTCAGTGTGTAGTTATGAAGAGCATTACATTATACTGATGTAATTCGGTGGATAAATAAAACTAGTGTACCTGTTGCTCGAAATCGAGCAATTGTCAAGTACCGATATTATACAGAAGTTATTTTAAAACTACAGTAATAACAGTCATAATTATCGATGATTTTAAAAGACCCGAAAACTTAAATGCTTATGTAACTAATTGAAATACTTACGCTATTTAATAGCGCTTTGGAATAATAAACGCTTCTTGTAAAAATATTTGAGCATTTTTTTGACCCGGCCTTATTTTTTGTGTTTTCTACAAATGTTTCCCGACTTAAAGCTGTTACCAGTAAACATTTCTTGCATGTATTTATTTGATATGACTTTAGGTGGGTTTACTTACCACTGTGACAACATAATGTGTATATTCTTCATGGTTTTTTTCTTCCAAAATAAGTTGCTTAGCATAACTGGCATAAATGATTCATCTCCCCAAGTGATTGTGTACCTGGATTCCTTACTCTGCCTCTCCTCTACTCTTCTCTTAAGTATAAGATTTCCAATTAATTGTCTCCTCTCCTGTTTCCAATATTCCTCCTTTGAATTCAAGAATTATTCTGTTCTTCCAACACAACTTATTAAATGCTTGGATTTGTTTATAACCTTCTAAATATTACAAACATCAATATTTACTCCCAGAAAGATGGTGAGTTTATTTTTATATACAGCTGTTTTTGTTTTGAAATTTGTTTTCGTTTTCAATGCAATTCTTATGGGGGAAAATGCGACCTTTGAGAGCGTCTCGTGCCCTTAAGGTTAAGAAATTTTAAATTCTAAAACCTTTATGCAAAACTACGAATTGAGATGAATTATTTGACACCTCAAACATTAAAATCGGTCCATAAATAACAGAGGAGTTTTGTTCACAAAAAACATCCCTCACGTATTAATACAGGGTGACACAAAGGAACCGGACGTTTTTTAAATAAGTAGTACACAGTAGTTAAAAGGAATAAACTGGTTTTAATACTGTACATAGTGAGGTAAACATTTGCCATTTGTTACAAAACCGTCATTTTTTGAAAATGACGTCATGCATACGGCGGCCATGTACTTATCTACAAATGTTCATTCTGGTCTGAAAATCATGTGAAACTCGGGTCAGGAGGTTCAATGCCATTGATATCTTCTGTGATTGCAAACTTCAAATCCTCTAGAGTGCGTGGTTTGTGAGCATGAACACGCTCCTTAAGAAACCCCCAAAGGATATAATCACTAGTGGACAAGTCAGGTGACCTTGGCGGCCACGGTATGTCACCAAAGCGAGAAATCACCTTGTTAGGAAACATTCATTCAATACTGCTCTCGCTCTAGCGATGTTTTCGGGTGTTCCCGAAGTTCTAACAAGGGCTGGTGGTTTCTTTCTTGTTATATTCACAGTTGTTCGGAACCCTGAAACCCATCTTAATAGCGTATTTCGGCTTGGAACCGTTCCATGGCGTTCAATATTAAAATGTCGACTAAATTCCCGCTGGATTTGACGACGGATTCACCATTTCGGACCAAAGTATCGTATGCGAAAACCCGATGGTCTAGGGTCCACTGAGCCATTTCAACAAAAATGGCAAGCCTCACTGAAGGTAATGACATAACTTCAATCTTCCTACCACGTGCAACAACAATGGAACAGCTGTTTAAAAAACGTCCGGTTCCTTTGTGTCACCCTTTATAAGAGATAAGAGATGGTTTTTTCAACCATTAGAGCAAAATCATCCACAACCACATAATCCTTGTTCTACCTAATGCATAGAATAGCTACCTTGTTAGTGTGAGTGCTAGTATGACACATACCCCTTAAAGATTCATCAATCACGTTATATGCTTTCTGTTGTTTATAATTTAGCATTGTTAGTTGATAGATAATGAGTTTATGATGTGGATGTTCTAGATGCTCAAAGAGAACCTCTAGTTGACACCAACCAGGACCTAAGTATCAGTCTGGCAGAAACGCTAAACCCAAACATCGGTGAGTGCACAACTAGACCCCTCACCTCCTTACACTAAACTAGTAGTATGCTTATTCAGCACGTAACGGGATGAGTGAACGTGAGCGCAACAATGGTCTTCCACCAAGCACCTATCCTACTTACCGGTGTCACTGGTGAACACAATGTTATTTGTATGGGCAAATCAACCAAATCTCAGTCAACAACAATCCTAACTTCTCGTACATTAATTAACCAGTCGATGGTAATATACGTAATGGATTTCCAACAGTTATCAATAGGAGGTAAATCCAACGTTCCTGTACAAAACGTCTTTTGATTAAATGAAGACTATTTCTTTATTTGTTATGAGGCCTATCATAAACAAAACTAAGCCAAACTGAACTAATCTAACTTAACCTAATTGCCACAGCATGGTGTAAAGGAGTCTTCTTAAAAATATCGTATGGCTTATAATGATGATATGTAAAACATACTAACGATAGCGCTATAATATCACCTAAAAATGATTTAAAATCCAATATATGTTTATCTAACTAATGAATCTAAATGCCATAAACGGTTCCCACACTCCGCACTGCTTGCCTTTACCACTTCCATCCCCACTACCTACGTCATGGACCTGTTTCCCTCCCTTACCTCAGCATTTTAGTATTACATGTACATTAATCTAACTACCACAAACGGTTCCCACACTCAGATTTTCTCGCCTTTACCACTTCCTTCCCCACTTCCTACTTCGTGGACATGTTTCTCTCCCTTCCTATAGCATTTTAGAATTGCAGTTACATTAATCTGTCACAAAAGGTTCCCACACTCCAGACTGCTCGCCTCGACTCCTTCCTTCACCACATACTATGTCGTGGACCTGTTTCCCTCCCTTCTAATAGCATTTTTAGAATTGCACATACATTATTCTAACTGTCACAATTTTGGCCTTCCCACACTCCGGACCCCTCGCCTTGACTACTTCCTCTACCACTTCCTATGTCGTGGACCTGTTCCCCTCCCTTCCTATAGCATTTTAGAATTTCAGTTACATTAATCTAACTGTCACAAGAGGTTCCCACACTCCAGACTGCTTGCCTAGACTCCTTCCTTCACCACTTTCTTAGAAAAAAAGTTTATAGCATAACTGGCATAAATGATTCATCTCCCCAAGTGATTGTGTACCTGGATTCCTTACTCTGAGACCAAGCCTCTCCTCTACTCTTCTCTTAAGTATAAGATTTCCTATTAATTGTCTCCTCTCCTGTTTTCAATATTTCTCCTTTAAATTCAAGAATTATTCTGTTCTTCCAACACAACTTATTAACTGCTTGGATTTGTTTATAACCTTCTAAATATTACAAACATCAATATTTACTCCCAGAAAGCTGGTGAGTTTATTTTTATATAGCTGTTTTTGTTTTGAAATTGTTTTCAATGTATTTCTTACGGCGGAAAATGCGACCTTTGAGAGCGTCTCGTGCCCTTAAGGTTAAGAAATTTTAAATTCTAAAACCTTTATGCAAAACTACAAATTGAGATGAATTATTTGACACCTCAAACATTAAAATCGGTCCATAAATAACAGAGGAGTTTTGTTCACAAAAAACATCCCTCACATATTAATATAAGAGATGGCTTTTTCAACCATTAGAGCAAAATCATCCACAACCACATAATCCTTGTTCTACCTAATGCATAGAATAGCTTCCTTGTTAGTGTGAGTGCTAGTATGACACATACCACTTAAAGATTCATCAATCGCGTTATATGCTTTCTGTTGTTTATAATTTAGCATTGTTAGTTGATAGATAATGAGTTTATGATGTGGATGTTCTAGATGCTCAAAGAGAACCTCTAGTTGACACCAACCAGGACCTAAGTATCAGTCTGGCAGAAACGCTAAACCCAAACACAAGCTTGCTCGGTGAGTGCACAACTAGACCCCTCACCTCCTTACACTAAACTAGTAGTATGCTTATTCAGCACGTAACGGGATGAGTGAACGTGAGCGCAACAATGGTCTTCCACCAAGCACCTATCCTACTTACCGGTGTCACTGGTGAACACAATGTTATTTGTATGGGCAAATCAACCAAATCTCAGTCAACAACAATCCAAACTTCTCGTACATTAATTAACCAGTCGATGGTAATATACGTAATGGATTTCCAACAGTTATCAATAGGAGGTAAATCCAACGTTCCTGTACAAAACGTCTTTTGATTAAATGAAGACTATTTCTTTATTTGTTATGAGGCCTATCATAAACAAAACTAAGCCAAACTGAACTAATCTAACTTAACCTAATTGCCACAGCACGGTGTAAAGGAGTCTTCTTAAAAATATCGTATGGCTTATAATGATGATATGTAAAACATACTAACGATAGCGCTATAATATCACCTAAAAATGATTTAAAATCCAATATATGTTTATCTAACTAATGAATCTAAATGCCATAAACGGTTCCCACACTCCGCACTGCTTGCCTTTACCACTTCCATCCCCACTACCTACGTCATGGACCTGTTTCCCTCCCTTACCTCAGCATTTTAGTATTGCATGTACATTAATCTAACTACCACAAACGGTTCCCACACTCAGAACTTCTCGCCTTTACCACTTCCTTCCCCACTTCCTACTTCGTGGACATGTTTCTCTCCCTTCCTATAGCATTTTAGAATTGCAGTTACATTAATCTGTCACAAAAGGTTCCCACACTCCAGACTGCTCGCCTCGACTCCTTCCTTCACCACATACTATGTAGTGGACCTGTTTCCCTCCCTTCTAATAGCATTTTTAGAATTGCACATACATTATTGTAACTGTCACAATTTTGGGCTTCCCACACTCCGGACCCCTCGCCTTGACTACTTCCTCTACCACTTCCTATGTCGTGGACCTGTTCCACTCCCTTCCTATAGCATTTTAGAATTTCAGTTACATTAATCTAACTGTCACAAGAGGTTCCCACACTCCGGACCCCTCGCCTTGACTACTTCCTCTACCACTTCCTACGTCGTGGACCTGTTCCCCTCCCTTCCTATAGCATTTTAGAATTTCAGTTACATTAATCTAACTGTCACAAGAGGTTCCCACACTCCAGACTGCTTGCCTAGACTCCTTCCTTCACCACTTTCTTCCAAAATAAGTTGCTTAGCATAACTGGCATAAATGATTCATCTCCCCAAGTGATTGTGTACCTGGATTCCTTACTCTGAGACCAAGCCTCTCCTCTACTCTTCTCTTAAGTATAAGATTTCCTATTAATTGTCTCCTCTCCTGTTTTCAATATTTCTCCTTTAAATTCAAGAATTATTCTGTTCTTCCAACACAACTTATTAACTGCTTGGATTTGTTTATAACCTTCTAAATATTACAAACATAAATATTTACTCCCAGAAAGCTGGTGAGTTTATTTTGTACGAACTACCTGTGTCCACTAATGCTTTAATAGTGAAGTTACCAAATTTAACCGGAATTAAACACAAATGCAATTTGGGAATTCTTGGAGCATTTTTGGATTTGTTATTATTTATAATACTTTGCCCCGCGTTTGAATCAGCGCTTTGACATTTCCGAGGGCGGATCGCGCCTATTGCCGCCCCCGGTTGAAGTTTGACTTTTGAAAATTGCCCGGTTGTGTGTGCCTATAAGTTTGACGCTGCTCACTCGGTCTACCTTGATGTGGCTGGGGTCTGTGTTGAGGCCAACCTTGGTTTTGAAGCTGTGTCGGTTGTTGCCAAACTGGACGTTGCGGTTGATGTACCTGGTGCGACCTAAACATCTGATCGCCATTTGGTCGATTCGCGCCGTATTGTAATGAATTGGGCCTATACGGAAAACTCGCTTGTCAAATGGAACATGGTTCGCTCTGACATTTTCATTCTCTTGGCGCCTCCACGTCTGATTCGAGTCCCCACTCCTAACATGCCAACGCGGCCTATTTGGAACAAAATGATCTGGTCGTCGATTTTCATTGTTTGACCTATCTGTATCACACGCCGACCCTCTAATTACTTCCATTCGTGGTACTAAATGTAGCAATTCCTCTACCGATCTTGGGGCCGGAAATCCCGCCAAACTGGCTCGACTTGATGGATTCATTCCTGTTAGAATTACATCCAATAAATTCACACTAGAATCCAGTAGAATTCTGGCAGAGTTTTGCACGCTTGTTATGAATTCACTTAGTGGTTCATTTCGCCCCTGAGTGCGGTATACTGAATTCGCGATTAATTGCTGCTTTGCCCTGTTTGGGAAAAAAGTTTCTACGATTTGGTTGTACAAACTCGAGTATGCTATATTATTGGATATGGCTGACACCCACTGTGACCTTAACTGACCGTCTGTTTTTGGCAAAATAGCTACTAAGGTTTGTTTCTCTTCGGTTAGTGACAATTCAAAAATATGTTCGAGTCCTATCAGAAATTTTAATAACATTTGACCATCTGCGCCTGTACATCTGTCTAACACCGCTACCATGTCATATAGTACGCGTGGTGCGCTAGTCGACGCTGTCGGTTCACGGTTGACTTCGCGACAACTTGTAGCTAGCGCGGCTGCGATGTTTTGTCCCACTGCCGCTGCCGTTGCCTGCACAATTGCCATCCAGTCAATCGTTTGAGGTGTCGTGTCTGTCGGCCTATTAATGCTCTCGTTGGTTGACTGTCCGGGGTGCGATTCATTATGCTCTAATTCCTGGTCGCGGGGAGAAGCTGTCGCCGTTTGATTTGGCTCTGTTCCTGCTTTCCTACCAACGCCGATTAGATCTCTTGGTGTTTCTTTGCTTGTCGCGGACGTTGAGTCTGAGTTTGACTCATTTACATCAAGAGATTGTGTGACTTTTATATGGCTTTTTAAAATTCCCCTATTTAATTCCAATGTATCTGCTGGCACAAGGTCCCATTCTCTACATTGGCTTATCGCCTGCTGCGCATTTAGTTTATCGATCCAAGATACACCTGGTGATGGTAGCATGAAGTACTGCATGTTAACATTAAGTACTGCATGTTACCATGAAGTACTGCATGTTACCATGAAGTACTGCTTGTTACCATGAAGTACTGCATGCTAGTATGAAGTACTGCATATTACCATGAAGTACTGCATGTTACCATAAAATACTGCATATTACCATGAAGTACTGCATGTTACCATGAAGTACTGCATGCTAGCATGAAGTACTGCATGTTAACATTAAGTACTGCATGTTACCATGAAGTACAGCATGTTACCATAAAGTACTGCATGCTAGCATGAAGTACTGCATATTACCATGAAGTACTGCATGTTACCATGAAGTACTGCATATTACCATGAAGTACTGCATGCTAGCATGAAGTACTGCATGCTAGCATGAAGAACTGCATGCTAGCATAAAGTACTGCATGCTAGCATGAAGTACTGCAATACTCAATCACACCAGTTACCTATTTAATTAATTTAATTTAATTTCATTGTGGGCTAGTAGAGCCTCTCTCTTGTCTCAGGGTTAAATTTGTGAATTGGTGGGGCTTATTTCATTGTTATAAAATAAAGAAGAATTATCAGTACATAAAAGATTGTTTATTAATTTAATTTAGACTAAACCAAACATTTTTTAAATAGACTACGTTATACAAAAGAAAATCTGTTATTATACTTTGGTTGTTGAAGATGAAGTTAAGTTAAATTACATTATTAATAAAAAATCAAATTTACATTGGCTATAGATTAGTTTAAGCAGCCATAACTACTAAGTTTAAGCATAAACACTTAGCTTAGTGTTAGAGGTGAGATGAGATGTCCTGCCTGCAGTGTCGGTAGATGGTCACCTGCCGCGTCTAGGTGGATGTGCATGGCAACCCCCTATCCGATGCCTGTGTGAGTGTCATGGCGTCGTCCGGCCTAACCAATCTTCATCTCGAACGTTAAATAATTTGACTTTTGAACGATGGATGCTCCGTCACTAGCACTGTCCAATAACTTGGTAAATAAACCGGACCAAACTACAGGTATTAAACCTCCGGCAGATGATAATCAAGTCAATTTATACAAAAGTTGGTAACTGAACTAGCGTAGGTCCGACCTCTTCGAAGAACAGCGAAAAAGTGCCTCGTTACCGAGCTTGCGCGTCGGTTGAGCTAAAAGTAATAGGCGAACACCTCGAAAACGGAAAATTTCCGTTTTGGAGACCAAAAGCGTTTCAGTAGTTCTCAAATCTCAACCCGGATGCGCATGCGCAGAACACCGATTTGTGTTTAATCCCGCCCTTCGTCTTGGTCAACGTCAAACAGGGCTCTCATCTAGCCATCTTGGAACATTTACTATTTCCTTTTATTTACACCATTTGACTCTAATTTAACCACCATGTTTCCTAACTGAGCGTCCATTATTGAATTGAATATTGATAATTGGTTTTAATTACCGTACCGTTCCGATAATTAATCATTTTTTTAGGTTCGATTATTACTATTTATTATTATATATTTGATTATTTATTTGACCCGTTACAGATACCCCCCAAAATTTAGAACAAAAAAAATGTCAACCCATTTTATTTTCGAAATTTTTTCAACATCTCATCTTTCCTCTATTACAATAATTTTAAAATATTCAGATACACACAATATTCTTACATCTATACACACTATAATATATATATGAAATTGACAATTTAGCAACACAAAATCAGTAATAGACCCTATCGCCTTATTAAATGACTACGGTACTTGAAGACAACACAATATCATAACTATTTTACAACAATAAAAATTGTTTTGCATAATTAGTCCATCATTATGCAAACATAAGTCCATTGTTCGTTTCACTAGGTGTTATATACCTTCTAGAAAAATCACTTAACATTTCATACCTCACTGCGTTTAACATGTTACCATCCCTTGGGCGTCCTTTAATGCGTCCTTCACTGCACTGCACATT